GTGGAGGAACTTGACTGGCTTGCACAGAATCTTGACCTCAACCTGATAGAACACCTTTGGGATGAATTAGAGCAGAGACTGCAAGCCAGGCCTTCTCATACTTCATCAGTGCCTGTCCTCACAAATGCGCTTTTGGAAGAATGGTCAAACATTCCCATAGACACACTCCTAGACCTTGTGGACATCCTTCCCAGAAGAGTTGAAGCTGTTATAGTTGCAAAGGGTGGGCAACTCAATATTGAACCCTACGGACTAAAACTGGGATGCCATTAAAGTTCATGTGAGTGTAAAGGCAGGCGTCCCACTACTATTGGTAATATAGTTTAGCTATGACTATGTCAGCTATGACTAAAGCCCCCAGGGGCAGAAATATGTCCCCCGGGGGGCCTTAGTCATAGCTGACATGGTCATAACTGTGACTAAGGCCAGCGTGGAAGAAACGCACCAGTGTTTACCCTGGTATCTTGGAACCTTTAACCCCTGGTACTTAATAAAGGACTTTTACGCTGCTCATTTACCAGATTGTAAACTGTATCTTTGGTTTTGGTCATTTTTGCAGACAGCTTGTAGAGGCAGAAGTCAGGCACTGGATTTGTGGTATCCTCTTCAACGTTGGATGTAAGTGTAAGAGCACCTGACATGCAGTTTTGATGACTTACGCAGTTCAGCTACCATCAAACAGCTGAAAGTCTGGTGTTTGGACTAACATCTGAACAAGCAAAGTTTCTGCCCTCAAACAGAGGTACAGTGCAGAACAAGAAATGGTAAGTCAACAATAGGAAAAACATCAGCTGCAAGGAGCCTACAGGCAAATCTAGTGTCTAGTCATTTTCTGGACAAGACTTCCATTGTACAGGTCCCCTTTAAGCAGGACAATCAAATGGGGTTGATCTTCTAAGGGCAAAAAGCTTGTTCAAAGAAAGACTATGTAGTATAAATGTTTGCTGAATTTATCCACCTTGGTTTGCATTAGGACATGTTCCACTGCTTGAGGTATATCCACCTGGTGAATAAAGTTAATCTAAAGGATTTCCTTTTTGGGACTAAAACGTTCCCAATCTTAGGCAAACAATTGCAAGACAGGATGTTCTATGGTTCTAGCATACACTGCCTTCCTTTGAGCCTACAGTATAATCTACACATTGCACTAGGTTACAATGCTGCTGAAAGTAGCTGCAATTTATTACATATGCCATAGAGAAAATTGAATGAACGTTTTCACTTAAGCGTAATTATGATGCTTCCTGGATAGAATTAGCAGATCCCTGTTAAAACGCAGACTTATTATGTTGATTAACATTTACATATGCAATGATTTTCTTTCATGTAGCTGTACTTAGATGGATGACAATGAACCAAGCCTTATTTTACTAAACTGAATGCCTAGATTCCCTAGAACATCATAGTAAGGAGAAAATTGATAAGAACACAAAGACCATGTGTGCATGCTTGACATCCCTATTTACTTTTCCAATCACAAGGAGAAAAACTGGCTCGCTCAAGGCCAAAGGGAAATGTCACAGGTCGTTCTACTGATAGATCACATGAGCTGTATATTACTAGTAGCCTTGATCCTCGGTTACCGCTAACCTTTTTTGGATTAAAGAAGAAGTAGCTGCATGTCAACATAATTTTTTTATTCAATATAATATGCAGGTGTGACTGCCTACTTTAAAGCACAAATTATTTATTGCATGGTAAACTTTTATTTAGTTACAGAACTTACATCATATAATATTTCATTGCTGAAAATATTTTAGTAAAAATAGTAAGTGGCAAAACAAAGGATAAATGAACATTATAGTGCATGTGACGTGTGAATATGATTGAGGTTTTGTGCAGATAAATGATGAATTCTCTTTAAAATTGGTCAGTCCACCCAAAACTGATATTACACATTTGGGACATGTTGCAGAATAAATCATCTGATGGTACATTTCATAAATTGCACTGCTACATTCTGTATGCCATGCTCTATAATTTTGCTGCTACATGCCCTGCTGTACCTTATATACTCCAGACTGCTCCACTATACATGTTGTGTTGTACATTACATAATCTGCACCCTGTATTTTATGCTTTATGTTACACACTCTGAACTTCATTATGTATACAATTCTATACATTAAATATTTGAAACCACTTTCCCCTGTATACAGTACTATAAATGGAATACTGTGTACTGCTGCACTCTGTACACCATGTTGTACAGCATACATTAAATACTCTACCATTGTACTCTGTACACTTTGCTATATATTAAATACTCTGGGTTTCTGCACAAAGTATACTGTGCTAATGGTTGCACACTGTGGACTGCTGCCCCCGTACACTGAACTACTGCATATGTGAAAAACTCTGGGCCTTGCACTTTTGTACACCAGGTTATATGTTATATACTACGGACTACTGAACCCTATACACTGTGTTGTATGTGAATTACTTTAGGCCCTGCACTCTGTACACCATGCTACGTGTTACATTTTGGGCCATTGTACTCTCTACATTCTGGAACTTTGGAAATTGAGAAAGAGTGATACTTTTGAATACTAAAGATATGCAGTGTGCCAATAACACTGAACATTATGCATTGTTTAAAGGAGCATAGTTAAAGAGAGTCTACATACTGTATATACAATACACAGTTTGCAGCCCTTGTATCACCAAAATTCTCCATAATAATGTAGCACCCTCCTTGTTAGCTAGGGGAGCTAGATAATTTTTTTTTTAGTTAGAGGCTGAGTAATCAGAGAGTCAAAATTTGGTCAGGGCTGAAAGGCTCTGCAGATCAGCTTTATGAAACCTCCCCTGATTTAGAGACTTGGAGAAGTCTCTAGAACTCAGTGGATGGAGGTGAGGAGGAGCTGGTCTGCACACACTTATGGGATCCTGGCCAATCCCAAAGCAGGAGGCTTGGCATGGGGCCAGGACAGTCCTTAAGAGTGACTGAGCCTGCTCAGTAGCAGGGCAGATTGGGTGGAAAATGGAGTAAGCAGGATGTAGTATGGAGCCTCGGAGAGGAGCCTAGCTTCAGGTGGAGGAACTGGAAGGGTGGACTCTCAGCCTCATCGTCCCCTGAGAGAGGACAGCCTGGGAAGCAGGGAAGCAGCCAGCCCAGCATAAGGCCTGAAGGCAGCCACCAACCCACAAGCTTGCAGGAGAAACTGGGGGAGTAATCCCACACCCCCTGGCCAGACAAGGAGAAAGGGCATTCGGGTCGGCAACCTGATTAGTCCCCATCTGGGACTGCTGATCTTAAAGTGTCCTCTAGCCCAGTGATTCTCTCAGGCAGCCGGGTGAAGAGCAGAATTCATCTTGGGCCTGAGTTGGTACCCCAGGAGAGGCTAGACAGCTCTCCAAGAAGAGAAAACCCTTCTGAGCACTTGTACATTAGTTATAGGAAGTTGTCCTCAGTTCAACAGTTTTTTGGGCATCCCATGTATCCCTCATCCCCATCCAAGTTTAAATCCCCTAATTAATTAATTAAATAAATAAACAAGTTCAAGGACTGTTTACTGTCTCTGGAGTGCAAGGCAGGAAGGAAATGTGTGTTGCCTGGCTGTACAGGACTATATAGAGACCCAAATCTCTAGTGGCTCCTAAGGGGGTAGTGCTACAATTATAATTATATAGTGAGAGTTTAACATAAGCCTAAAGGATTAAAAAAATAATATACACAGAGTAATATCACTTTGTCTGAGCCTACCTTAAAGAAGAACTTCATTAGCTGCAAACTACTGTACACAGCAACAAAAAACTGTTGTTCAAATTCTGGGACAGTCCCACGGTATTCAGGACTGTTGGGAGGTATGACTGTGCTATACATAAAATACTCTGAGCCACTTCACTCTGTACAACATGTTATTCCATACTTTCTCCAAACTGCTGTATGCTCTGTTATATGTTACATTCTACTTATTCCTGCATATATTCTGTGCTGTATGTTGTATACTCTGAACGGCTTCACTCTGTACATTGTGCTGCACTTGCATCTTGCATTGTATGTTGCATTTAGAAGACCATTGCCTCTGTATACAAAGTCAGTTATGTTACGTTGTCTGCACTTTTTATTTCTGTATGCTGTGCTGTTTGCCATACTCCACAGTATGCAATAATCTGTTTGCTATGCTATGCAATATGTACACCAAAATGCTGCATTATGTACATTGTGCTATATATGTATATTCATACCAATAGATGTTACTTTTGAAATCAGGCATCTAAGTCCTTTCCATGAATGGGGAAAATTTTTGCTACATTTATATCATAAAGAATAAATATTGAAATACAAAAAGGTAGGTGGAAACAACTAAGATTCCCAAGTGGACAGAAAGTGGCAAGGACATTTTACTGCTGGAATATCCAAGACATATGACTTAGCTCACTAGACTCCTCCTATAACTAAATATTACATTTGAGTGGACTGACCCTTTAAATGTAAGCATTTTTTGGCACGTTAGTTTTTAAGCTGCAGCATGACATACTAAACAATGCATTTAGCGGTGAGTTCTGATTTTAGTTTCTCCACGGCTGGAAAGGAAAAGACTAGGACATCTTTATGATAAATATTATTACAGTACTTGATTATGTTATTTAAGTTGCAGTTCTTTGGCTCATTGAAGCTCTGGCCTGCAGAGGTTACAATCTAAGACAGTCATCGTGCCTAGGTAACTTTCATCTTTTCAAATCAGATGATCTGTCACTCAAAACCTTAGCTGTGGTAATTACAAGTCTGAAGTGTTATTAAAATAAGTGATAAATATTTTTGACCAACTCCTTTCAATATTTTTTCCATAAAACTACCTATATACAGTTCTTTCAGAAGCTTTTGTCAAAGTCAAGGGAAACTGAAGTTCTTTGTTTTAAAAAAAAAGCTAACATATATTCCAGAAAACAGGTCCCACAGAATCAAATAGACAAGGCATTTTATAATGGATAGTGAAAAGTGATTTTCATTTCTTATTTAGAATGAAATGTTTTTCCTCAGAGTTTTTTTCATGCTATAAATAGCTTATGCCTAGCATATTTTCTTTTTCAGATGCTCCAAGCTCCTCCGGTAGAGCATTTTGTGATGATGGTCCAACTTCCTGCTGCAGAGATTCTTCAGCTCCAGCTCTCTGTCCATTTTCATCCACTCTGTCCACTCTTGGACTTCTTCTGTCTTGGGAAATGCCACTAACTCTGCTGAGCTCTCCTTGCGCTGTTTCATTGGGTCCATTCATTCCTCCATCAGCCACTCTAACAGATGTCCTACAGAGAACACGTCTCAAGCCCCTTTGAAATGGACGAGCTAGAAGAGCATAAATAATAGGATTCAAGCAGCTGTTAGCATAGGAGAGAGCTACCACAAAGGAGTAAAGTCCATACAGCCTTGGACCTGCAGGCAGAGGCCACAACAGATTGATAATGTTCAAGGCATAAAAAGGCAGCCAACACAGGATGAAGGCAGTCACTGCAAGGGCCACCATCTTAGTTACCTTGCGCTCAGGACCCTGTCGTCGGGTTGGAGCCACCCTAACCCGATTTCCAGATGTTCTTAGCTCAGCCACAATAAGTATATGGCATATGCAGATTACAAGCAATGGGCAGAAGAACCCAAGTGCAGCAGTATACAAGATAAAACCAGTCCTCCAGGCCTGCTGTGGTTCAGGCCAAGCAATATGACATGTTCCTGAATCCTTTGGAACACCAGCAAAGAAAACTACTGGTAGTACAACCAAGAAAGAAGCAATCCAAACAGTTACATTCACAATTTTAGCCACTTTGGGTCTTCTCCATTTTACGGACTTGATGGGACGAACCACAGCTAAATATCTGTCTATGCTGAGTACAGTTAAGCAGAAAATGCTTGTGAATTGATTGACAGCATCTAGAGTCATTACTATTGTGCATACTGGTGATCCAAATGGCCAGTAGGACAAAGCACTCTGGGCAGCAAGAAAGGGCAAACCCAACATGAAAAGGTCATCAGCCATTGCCAAGTTCAGAATGTAGAGAGCAGTGACAGAGTTTTGTCCAGCAGGACTTCGCCATGCTAAGTAGATAACCAAGGTGTTACCCCATAATCCTACTGCACATACAACTAGGTATATCAGTGGAATGAGGAGCCCTGGGGCAGCCACATTTGGAGTAGATGAAACATTGGCAAATAGAGTTGTGTTAATGTCTGCATAAGAACTTGGAAGAAGGCTAGTCGGAGATGTTGGTGTCATTTTTGAAAACACGTCAGAACATGGTTGTTTTTGGTGATTATTATTTTTTTCATGAATAATGTCTTTCCTTATTTGTAAACCTTTTTTTTATTAATAATAATAGCAATATTCTATTTTTGTCTTTTGAAAAAAATAGGTATACGATTGTGCATCCTACAAAATTAAATAATGCCAGCTTTCAGTAGATCCTGAACAATTTCTCTTGGATTCACAACTGTTCTTTCCAAATCCGCTTGGTTGGCCCTTGTCATCTGTTTTAAATTTTAATATATTGACTTTGTGTTGTTGCAAATCTAACTGTAGTGAGGAACAATGTGGATAACTGTTTTTTTTAGTGTATTTCTTGACTGAACAGCATGCTAAAACATGCATCAATAAGTTTTATTTCTTCTGAGCAGTATACTGCCATAGGGGTCTGTGGCTGTGCAGGTTGTCCATTTTATGTCATGTCTTCTTCACAGAAGGTGAATGATTCTCTTCAAATAGGCTGCATCACCAGTAGGCCAAGAATTTAGCTGTCGATATTCTGACAAGACAATGAAAGCAAATCATGTTATTGCAAACCTATCACATAATAATAAAACCATTACAATTTATTTTTACCAAAAAAGTAGAAACTGTTCTCCGAGCAAAGTCATTGTTCACAGAATAAAGCAAAGACCTGTGTACTTTATTTACCCAACTATGTGCATGTGCAAACAAAAGTCAAGTTTTTATTTATAGATAAATATGTTTTTTTTCACTTGCACATGATTGGGTATCTAAAATGTACACAGTTTCTCCTTACTTAATTAAGTGAATATTTATGTTCTGGATTAACCAGCCTCTACTCCTTTAATAAATCAGTAGACTAAACATTAATTATAGAATTACCGTATTTTCCGGCGTATATGGCGACTGGGTGTATAAGACGACCCACTAATTTTCCAGTTAAAACATAGGTTTTGGGCTATACTCGCCGTATAAGACTAACCCCCTTCCGAGGCAACACCATTTAAAAACATCAGATTTTTTAATTGAAATGGTTATGACTTACTGGCACCTAAAATCCTTCAAAATCCTCATGTTCATCCTCTGACATCATAAGTTCATGAATGACATCTTGTGATACACTTTTAAGACAGTCATCATATGGATCAAATTCCAAATCAGATGGTTACCGCTGGATGTGCAGTAATACGGTAGCTTCGGCTACATACAGTATATATACAGACCACTGGATGTGCGGTAATATGGTAGCTTTGGCTACATACAGTATATATACAGCCCGCTGGATGTGCAATAATGTACATATAGTATACCGCGCTGAGCCAAGCTGGCTCAAAACAAATGTCCCTATGACAGATTAATCTGTCAGCCCGCTGGATGTGTAGTATATACAGTATACTGAGCCAAGCTGTTTCAAAACGTACGGTAATCAGACCGCTGGATGTGTGTATGTACAGTAGCTGAGGCTACATACAGTATACGCTGGGCCAATCATGGTGAGCGATGTATTCTACTAATGAATACAAAGCCTGTTCGGATTGGCTGAGGTTGTGACATCATCAGCCCACCTCTCTGACTCAGCCAATCCGAGCAGGCTTTGTATTCATTAGTAGAATACATCACTCGCCGTGATTGGCCCAGTGTATACTGTATGAAGCTGCAGCTACCGTACATACACGCATCCAGCGGGCTGATTACAGTAGGGACGTACTGGTACGTTTTTGAAACCGCTTGGCTCAGCGCAGTATACTGTATATACCACACATCCAGCGGGCTGACAGATTAATCTGTCATAGGGACATGTGTTTTGAGCCAGCTTGGCTCAGCACGGTAAACTGTATGTACAGTATTACCCCACATCCAGCCAGCTTGACCCAAACAAACTCAAGGTTCACATTTTATACCCGCGTAAAAGACGACCCCCAATTTTTGGGGTATATTTTTAAGTATAAAAAGTACTCTTATATGCCAGAAAATACTGTATATTCTATAATTAATATTGCTATAACTTTGATAAAATTATTCTTCAGCAAATGTTTTCACAATATCATTGTAAGAAGTATTACACTAATCTGCATGACTGCTCATTGTCAATCAGGAGTTTCTGTTGTAACTTGAGACACTTCTTTAGGTCCTTAGATGCACAGCAAGCATGCTTTATACCAGACTTGTCACAGATCAACAGAAGGTTCTGTACTAGCCATGAGAAAAACCACGTTAAAATAAACCTATTGGATGTAAGTACAAAGATTGTTTCATTCAAGTGGAGTAAGGCACTCTGTACCAGGATATTAACTTACAACCTTATCATGAGTATTTGCTTATATTTTTATCTGCCAATACAATCAGTAGTGTTTAATTATATGTGATGTGTTCTCAGACTTGGTGCAGTTGGGATAACAGGTTCCACTAAAACTCATTGCCCTACCTTGATATGCCTCCTCATGAACTGTGAAATATAAGCCTGCACTCATTTGATTAAAGCTATCAGTTAAATACACAAAGCATGTTTTTTTACTTCTTGGTGTGTTTAGATCACAAGTTAGGTTCAAGATCAAGAGCAGGTTTTGGGTTTTAGTGTGTAAATTAGACCCATGCGTAATGCTTGTATAAAATTAAAATCAGAACTTTTAGACTATATGAACTATATTTTTTTTCAGTTATATTATGCCAATATCAAAGTTTACCTTTACAACCTGAATAGAATAGAGACTAATTCAGGTGGCCTTCATTTCAGAGCACTGCAAGAGCCCCAAATTCTTGGGAGCTCTGTTATGCACACCAATTTCAGCCACAGATCCAAATGTTTTTCCTGCGCTCCATGCATCCATATTGGCACATTAGTGATGGGTGGCATGGCCAACCAAGAGTGATGCACAGCAAGAGGAAAGAGGCAGGCCAAAATTTGCAATCTGCTTTTCTATACAAGAACCTGTTTGCTAGGGTTAACTTGATACAGTTACATTTTCATTGCTATATTTACAGAAAATCCATGTTATAATAAACATTTATGCAACTATGAAACAATATTTGCAGATCATACTGGGTTTTCTAATAGCAAAGTCCATAACTGCCTTTGCATGTGTTTGTTGCTCCTACAAATTACAATTCCATATAATGTAGGTACCTCCTTGGCTTGCAGAGAGGAAAAGATGTATCTTTCCTCTGAGTCTTTGACCTGCATATGTAAATTCTGATTTCCTGGTATTTAGAACTATTTACAGCAAAGTAATACACAGATCTTCTAAAAGCCTAGATTAATGGCCTCACGTTTGTCCCCTGCGGGATGCAAGTAAGGAATATGCAATATTTATATATCTGGCTAAAAGGAATTTTTTTTAAGTCAACATATATGGAAAACACAACACATTTATTTTAAAATGTACTTGTAGCAATTGCAGCCTTTGTAAATGTGCACATTAATGCAATAACGTGTGCTTCCAGGTCTATACCCTTAGCGTCAGATTTTTTGCTACTGTCCCAGGAGTCCCAAACTGTTCTGTTTCTCTGGTGTACCATTGCTGTGATTGGCAATGTCAATATTGGGTAATCAGGCATGTGAGGCTGCTATGCAAGTTAGACTATATGCAATCTAATGGGGGAAGGTATAAATCCACAATAAAGGTTTCTAAAATCCTTGCAATGTACAGTCATGGCCGAAATTGTTGGCACCCTTGCACAAAAAAGGTATTGCATTAACACATGTTTTGCTATACACATGTTTATTCCTTGTATGTAATTGGAACAAATATAAAACAGAGGCAGAAAAGCAAATATGACTAATAATGTCACACAAAACCCCAAAAATGGGCTGGACAAAAGTATTGGCACCCCTTAACTTAATATTTGGTTGCACACCCTTTGGAAAACATAACTGAAATCAGTCGCTTCTATAACCATCAATAAGCTTCTGACACCTCTCACCCGGAATTTTGGACCACTCTTCCTTTGCAAACAGCTCCAGGTCTCTCTTATTGGAAGGACACCTTTTCCCAACAGCAATTTTAAGATCTCTCCACAGGTGTTCAATGGGATTTAGATCTGGGCTCATTGCTGGCCACTTTCTCTTTGCCATCCATTTCTGAGTGCTTTTTGACGTATGTTTGGGGTCATTGTCCTGCTGGAAGACCCAGGATCTTGGACGCAAACCCAGCTTTCTGACACTGGGCCCTACAGTGCGACCCAAAATCCTTTGGTAATCCTCAGATTTCATGATGCCTTGCACACAGTCAAGGCACCCAGTGCCAGAGGCAGCAAAACAACCCCAAAACATCATTGACTGTGTTTTGTTCTTTGTAGGCCTCATTCCGTTTTCGGTAAACAGTAGAATGATGTGCTTTACCGAAAAGCTCTAATCTGTCCACAAGACGTTTTCCCAGAAGGCTTTTGGCTTACTCAAGTACATTTTGGCAAACTGTAGTCTTGCTTTTTTATGTCTCTGTGTCAGCAGTGGGGTCCTCCTGGGTCTCCTGCCATAGCGTTTCATTTCATTTAAATGTCGACGGATAGTTCGCGCTGACACTGATGCCCCTGAGCCTGCAGGACAGCTTGAATGTCTTTGGAACATGTTTGGGGCTGCTTATCCACCATCCGGACTATTCTGCGTTGCAAATCTTTCATCAATTTTCCTCATCCGTCCACGACCAGGGAGATTAGCTACAGTGCCATGGGTTGCAAACTTCTTGATAATGTTGCGCACTGTGGACAAAGGCAAATCTAGTTCTCTGGAGATGGACTTGTAACCTTGAGATTGTTGATATTTTGCCACAATTTTGGTTCTCAGGTCCTCAGACAGTTCTCGTCTCCTCTTTCTGTTGTCCATGCTTAGTGTGGCACAGACAGACACACAATGCAAAGGTTAAGTGAACGTCTCTCCTTTTTATCTGCTTTCAGGTGTGATTTCTATATTGCCCACACCTGTTACTTGCCCCAGTGAGTTTACAGGGCATCACATGCTGTAACATTCTTATTTATGCAGTTGTGAAAGGGTGCCAATACTTTTGTCCAGCCCA